GAATTGCATCAGGTGTTGCATTGAGAGTAAATTACTAGATGCCCTCAACAAATCGTGCAGCCTTGTATGTTTGTTTGTTCCTTGATTTATATTGTGAAAAATAATTTAGTTTCTAAGGTAAATTTGTTTGGTTATAAAGCCTGTTGTTTGGCTTTCTTTATATGACCGTTTGGTCTGATTGATGATGTGCCTGTTTATAGTTATTTGTTGAGATCCACATTGGATTTTCATATTTCACAGGTTGTTGCCATCACGGTATTCTGCTTGTTGGTGGTAGCATTTTATGCCTTCTTTGCCCCTTTTCTTGGAGGTAGAATATGGGAGTATGTTCTGATTGGTGCCTATTCACCAGTGGTATGTGAATTTATCTGCAGCGCTCACTTTTTGATGTAAATATTTACATTCTTTTGGCATTGATTAGCGTAGTCAGTTAACTGTGTCCCCTTAAACATGTCCATGATTTATTTTTGTAGTTAAGTAGATTTGTTTCCCTGGTGGCCTAAATTCAGTGTAGCCCTATTAAAAACCTCTTCATTCTTTTGTAGAGCAGCCAGATGAAACAAAAGTAGGATTCTTGGAAGTTGGAAATATTAGGATATTTCCTCTTAAATAACTAAGGACTATTATATCCAAAATTCCTTCCAAAATTGATATGTCACACCATGATAGAATTATACTATTCAAAAGTTAAAACTTAATCTTGCTTCAAATTCCTTCCTGATTTGGTTCTTTAGGCGAATATCTCCTTTAGATGTCTCATGTTAATTCAAGTTTTAATTGTTACTTTTACAATTCTTGAAATTGCATTTCTTGATTTGAGTATCTTTTCAATCTGCAGGCGCTGTTGGTTTTCATTCTTTATGTCCGGTCCACTGCAATTAATCCTGCTGATCCTGGTATCATGTTTAAATTTGATCCCGATTTAATGCACGAGGCTAACGAAAAGCACGGATTAAGTGCTCCTGGTCAGACCAGAAAATATGATGGAGTCAGCAATGGGACTCATTCATGTGCATCTTCACCTTCCCGAAGCTCCTTTGCAGGAGCTAACTCTAGCAGGAAAGGTTCGGTTGAGTCTGTAAAATCCAATGTACAAGTCCAATCTCCAAAAAGGAGCTCCACTTGCCGTTTTCTCGGAGGAATATTCTGTGCTATATTTGTTCTTGAAGATTGCCGCAAACAAGACGAGGCAGATGATCAAGAAGCTACTGGTGAGGATGCATTGTTTTGCACGCTATGCAATTCAGAGGTGAGTTTAGATTTTTTTTGGTATTACTCCTTCAATCACTATCGCTTATATTTTTAAAAATTCTGTTAAACCTCGTCTTATCTTTGGATTAAAATACTCTGTCACATATTTATCATTCTGTTGTCATAATGAATGCTACCCTTTGAGGATAATGCTTGTTATAGAGATCTTTTATTGCAAAGTTTTCTTCAGTTTGCTGGTACTGATACTGAAGTTTTATTTTTCTATATTGTGCCGTGTGACTGTCTTGTGCTTTTGCATTTGTTGATTACTTGATTATTGCATTTGCTTCTTTTGTAGGTTCGCAAGTTCAGCAAACATTGTCGAAGTTGTGACAAGTGTGTGGATGGATTTGATCACCATTGTCGGGTACATCTCTTGAGTCAACAATAAAAAAAAAATCTCCATGTAATATCTTTGATATTTTCCGAGGGAGAATTTACTTACCCTTTTTTATTAACATATTTTGGATTAACTTATACATCCTTTTCTTGATAGTGGCTAAATAACTGTGTGGGTCGGAAGAACTATGTAACGTTCATCTCTCTTATGGCCATGAGTTTAGTATGGGTAAGTTCTCGATTTGCAGTTATTGTCTGAAGATCTTTACATGTGTTATTATTTAATATTTATCTCTCGGTATCTATTTCCCCAGCTCGTACTTGAAGCTGGAGTTGGTATTGGTGTTCTGGTCCGTTGCTTTGTCAATAAGAGTCATATGGAAGCTGAAATAGTCGATAAGCTTGGAAATGGTTTCACTCGTGCCCCATTTGCGACTGTTGTGGTAATTTTGCTCCTGATTTTTGTGATTTCATCCCTGATAATACTATATGTGAGTGAGATATAGTATGTAATAATAAACTATTAATTAATATCCTAATCCTTTGCGTTTTTTCAGGCTATATGTACCGCAGTTTCTGTGTTGGCCTGTGTTCCATTAGGGGAACTTTTCTTTTTCCACATGATACTAATTAGAAAGGTTAGTTGGTATCTGCAAGGAGAACAAATTATTATATGTCTCATTCTTTGTATGATAACTAATAAATCAACACCAATTTTCTGTATTTCAAGTTTCATTGTGTAAATTAACATTTTTCACACAAGGGCTGCTGAAACTCAATGGAAATTCCAACTCAGAGTATGACTTCTCAAGTCAGCGAAATTTTCAAAACTTTGACAGATTTTCAAAATTGGCTTAACGAGAATAAAACTAAATAGTAAGAACACTTGATTCTATATTAATTTGATGTGGTCGTATTTTGTCGCAGCTATGTGTAACAGTGTAAGTGATTTCAATCTATCTAGATTATGAACAAACTTTTTGATGATTCAATTTCTCTTTCTTAGGCGAAACAAAGAGGATATCTCGGTCAGGGGAGAAATCGGGGAAAGTTTTTGTTTTGATTGGATTTTTGGTTTGGGTTGGTTAAATTTAAAAAAGTTGGTATGGTTAGTTGTTAGTGGGTATAATAAAATAATATATAAAATAAAATGATTAAAATTAAATTGATGTAAAAGTAGGAGAGAGAAAATGTGATGTGATGGTTAGTTAAAATTATGTGAGTTGATGAATAGTGAATTAAAGTTGATGTTGTGTGTAAGAATGATTGATTGATATTATTTAATTATATTGATAATATTGATGATAGTGGGGTTGAGTTAAAAAAAATGGTTGAGTTAAAAATGATTGGATTTTTTGGGTTGGATTTATATCCAATCGTGCTCTAAACCTTCTAATCGATGATTAGGCCAAATTTCAATCTATCTAGATTATGAACAAAAGGGCATTGTTTATT